ATGGATCTAGTGGGTCCAGTAGTAAAGTCTGCCCGGGGGCATCAGCACATACTGGTGATACTGGACTATGCCACCCGGTATCCAGAAGCCATTCCCTTGCGTAATACTTCTGCTAAGACTATTGCCAGAGAGCTTGTCCGGGTATTTAGTCGTGTAGCTATTCCAAAAGAGATATTAATGGATCAGGGCACGCTATTTATGTCTAGGGTCATGAAAGAATTATGCAAGTTGTTCAAAATCTCCCATCTCCGTACCTCGGTCTACCACCCCCAAACCAATTGGCTTGTGAAGAGATTTAACAAGACGCTTAAGAATATGTTAAACACTGTAGACTTTTTTGATATTCATTTGAATGAGCTGAGATTCGGTAACTTGGATTACCCTCAGAGCTTTTACCTCAGGAGTTACCCCATTGATTGTACCTATGCGGATTGCATTTTATGCTAGATGAACAGTTTCTTTTAGTCCGGCTAATACATATGATGTGACTGGTTTAACTGCAATTACATAATCAATTACCTCCCCCCTTTTTTTTTTTTTCTCTCTCTCTCCCCCTCCCCTAAGACGTCACCTTACACATCTTTCTTCAATCGGTTCTCTTTTCTGACTTATCTTTATCTCACAACTTTGACATGCCCTTACTAATCATATTTTCCTAACAGAATAGAGCATCTATTCGTATACAGGTGTGACTATTTTTTTTTTTTTTTTAAGTAACCTACATTTTCCAGATACGGAAACATATGGCATATACGCCTTCAGATGATATTCTTGCCCTACACTACAAGGTCCCTTTCCCTGAGAACTCCCTACTAATTGGATCATTGGCCATTATACTTATTTCTCTTACCTAATATAATCATTATATCGGCTGGTATGTAATATTCATTTGCTTTATGTGCTATTTTGTCTCGAGATAAATCACACTTTAAACCTACAACATATGACCCGTCTGCGATAGGGGAGAATATATGCTATGTCTATGCGCGGACTGTGATCCGTATCTGTATGTGATTTGATATGCCTTTCAATGTTCAATAAAAACTTTTTTTGGGAAAAAAAAAAAAGAATATGTTAAAAAAGGTGGTGGACAAAGATGGGAGAAATTAGGTTTTCTTGTTACCATACCTCATGTTTGCTATACGAGAAGTACCTCAGGCGTCTACAGGGTACTTGCCTTTTGAACTACTGTATGGTAGACATCCCAGGGGGTTGGTAGATGTCGCAAAAGAACATGGGAGGGAGAGACCATGCCCTACAGAAGCATCATCGAGCATATTTCACAGATGCAGGATAGAATCTCAGCTGTCATACCGCTTGTACAGGAATATATGGAGCAAGCCCAGGAGGCCCTGAGAAGGGTTTATAACCGGGGTGCCAGGATCTGTACCTTCAACCTGGGGATAGAGTGCTGGTGCTAGTTCCCACTGTGGAAAGTAAATTCCCCGCAAAGTGGCAAGGTCCCTTTGAAATTAGGGAGAAAGTAGGTGAAGTAAACTATAAAGTTTACCAGCCAGGGAAAAGGAAACCTGAGCAAATATATCATGTGAATCTCTTAAAACCTTGGAAGGACAGAGAGAGTTTATTGGCAGTACCAAACCCCAAAAGGACGTAGTCCCCGTGGCCCCTTCAGGTACCTATAACTGAAACCTTGTCAGTAGCCCAACAGAATGACGTTAAGGAGTTTGTTTTTCTCTCACCTACCTGGGCTTACCACAGTAATACAGCATGACATATTTACCCAGCCGGGTGTCCGTGTAAATATAAAGCCCTATAGAATACCCGAGGCCAGGCGGGAAGCAGTGGCAAATGAAATAAAGGACATGTTAGAGTTGGGAGTGATGGAGGAATCTCACAGTGAGTGGTCAAGTCCCATAGTGTTGGTCCCAAAGCTAGATGGAACAATTTGCTTTTGTAATGATTTCTGGAAATTGAACAGTGTGTCTAAATTCGATGCATACCCGATGCATCAGGTGGATGAGCTCATTGACAGGTTGGGAACGGCTCATTACATAATTACCTTAGAGTTGACAAAAGGCTATTGGCAGATTGAAGAATGATGGACAGAACTTTAAGACCACGTCGCCAATACGCAGCTGCCTATTTGGACGATTTCGTCATCCACAGTCCAGACTGGGAGTCTAATTTGTCCCACTTGCAATCAGTAGTAAATTCGCATAGGAAAGCAGGTCTTACCGCCAACCCCAAAAAGTGCGCCATAGGGTTGGAGGAGGCCAAATATCTTGGCTACATTATTGGTCGAGGTGTCATTAGGCCTTAGATCAATAAAATAGAGGCGATTCAAAAGTGCCCCCAACCTGTAAATAAAAAGCAAGTCCGGGAATTTCTTGGGATCACAGGATACTACAGGCGGTTTATACCCAATTTTGCCACCATTGCAACCCCACTGGCAGATCTGACAAAAGGTAGGGGGTCGGTCATTATTGAGTGGAATCCTGAGGCAGAGACAGCATTTAAAAGGTCGAAACAAGCTCTCTGTGCCCAACCTGTGCTTGTGACCCCAGATTTCACAACAGGCTTTGTGGTACAGACTGATGCCTCTGATGTGGGACTCGGTGCTGTTCTGTCCCAAATCAGAGAAGGAGAGGAGCACCCCATGGTCTTCCTGAGTAGAAAGCTTAACAAACATGAGAGAAATTATGCAATAATTTGTTGAGAAGGAATGTTTGACCATCAAATGAGCCTTGGAGGCCCTGAAATATTGGGAAGACAATTCAAATTGGTTGTTGGGAAGACAATTCAAATTGGTTACTGAACATGCCCCGCTCAAGTGGATGTGCGATAACAAAGAGAAAAATAGTCGAGTGACAAAGCGTTAGCATTGTGTCATGGCAAAACTGGTGCCTCATGTCGAGTCAGGAGGAGTTGAAGCCTCCCATTTAAGTCTATGATGACGCTCCTTAAACGCCTAGCAATCATTTACGATGTGGTTGTGTGGTGTTTTCGGAGCATTAATACCATTTAACTTCATTACAGGCATTTGTGGTGCAATTTTAATGCTTGGCAAATGCTTATCACATGCGTTAAATACGCTTCCCAAACACCTGTCAAACATTATAGGGCCGTTTGGCAAGAGTTAGAAATAAAGTCAAGTGTGAACGAGCCCTTAAACCTCTCTCCTTATACAACTTAGAACTGTACTGGAACGCGGTAAAATGCCCTGGAACGTACTAAAACGCACCTGTCCCAAATTACATTTAAGAAAAATGTACTGGAATACGTCAAAAACGCATCCAAAATGCAATGGAACATGTCAAAAATGCATCCAAAATGCTCTGGAACACGCTAAAAATGTATCAAAAAAGTGCATGCAAAAACGCATCTGGAACACATCTAGACTGTGTTTCTATAGTGTGAACTATATGTATACAACCATTTGTGGAGCAGAAACGCATGCAAGTGCACGTTTTTTCCAGCACAGCAAAGAAATGCAATGCCCTCTGCAGATGTGCGCAGGTACCATGATGAAAACTTAATTGCACCTCTACACGACTAGTAAACACAGACGCATTCACAGCCACCAAAAACACATGGCACCACACTACTGTGCGGTTAGGTGCAACACACTTTTAAAATAATATGCCTGCAGAATTTTTGCATGTTCCCACACGTTAGGTAGCCCATTGAAATTAATGAGCTGAGGAAAAAAAAAAAAAATGCCACATTCGCACAGGTCCTCTGGCCTGTACAGCATGAATGAGTGGGTTGTTCATGTGGCTGAAACCACCTGTTACACTATGGGGACACAGCAGCTGTATAAACACAGGTTTTAATCTGACAGGTGTGAAGGCGTGGGGAAGTGGCCTGAATGCTCACTGTCTGTATTCAGGGCTGTACGCCCCTGCATCCATATACTTGTCAAATTAGGACCTGCATCATTTCCATATTGTAACATACGTTGCCTGCAAACAGCAACAGCTACAAAAACAAACCACTCTGCAAATGAGGATCAGCTCCTTGGTGGAGAACAGCAATCTCACCATGTCCAGATGTGGTCTGGAATTCCAAAAAAGAACAATTCACAAAGCTAAAAAAATAGACTCTGTCAGGCACCGCCCGGCGGAATCTCTAGTGATCCACAGAACGGGATTCCCCAGGACGCAAAGTCTAAGTTCCAGTCTGCCTTTTCACACAGAGCCCCCTGATGGTGGGGATGGACTTGGTGCGAGACTGAAACCAGGTCGCGACCCCTGAGTGCACCCAACTGTGTTAGGAGGGGTCCTGCCGAGGGTACATGCCGGGGGGGGTGGAACCTGCTGTGAAGAGGACTGACAAGTCCAGGTTCCCGAGCGGAATGGATGGATGACAGTCAGGAATGAGCGTAGTCAGACTAGCCAGGTCGGTAACGGTGGAGGCAGGTAGGTACCAAACAGTAGACAGAGAGCAGCCGGGTCACGAGCCAAGGTTCAGCAACAGGAGGTTCAATAGTGATATAACAACAGGCAGGAGAGTAGTCAGGGACGAGCCTGGAACGGGTCAGAGCAGGAGAAGGGTCAACACAAATCAGACAAGCAGGATCACCGCAACAGGAACACACTTCAGAACACGGTACAGGCAAACTTAGATCTTGCGGCAACCTAGTCACCGTCTGGCCAGTTTAAATAGTGCGCCCTGCACCGTTCATTGGTGCAATTGCCGTACGCGCCCAGGTCCTAGTGCCTGCACATTAGTAACACCTAGGCAATCTGTGTTTATGTGCCAACCTGTGCGCCGCTGCGAGACCCGCAGTCCCTGACAGACTTGCAATTTACCACTAAACTCTCCTAACTACACTCCCATCCACTACACACTCCCACTACCATTCCGGGTGTGTGCAAACATCCTTCTGCAAATGTCATGACTAGAGATGAGCGAAGTATTCTCAAAAAATTCGATTCGGCTGATTCGGCGAATTCGAGGAATAAATTTGATTCGATGCGAATATATTCGCTGCGAATTTAACTTATTAAAAAGGGTGTTTCTAGGGCTTCAGAGAGCCTTTATATTAGTGCAGAACACTGTACCTTTAATTTAAATGCCCTTGGGAGTCTGCTGGGGAAGAGAAATAATACTGTCAGTCAGTATGACATGCAGATGAGTGCCGTCGATCTTAGAATCACCAGCACACTTCACTCATTTGGGCAGTCACGGGGCCAATAAACCAGAGTGTGGGCCACAGTGTGGCGGTGGAGGCAGCAGGAATGGGAGGCCATACAGCACCCTATGACAAAATGGAACCCACCAGCAGTGTGAGGAGACCTGAAAGTGGCACATGGCAGAGTGTGGCGATGGAAACAGCAGCAATTGGAGGGCCGTACAGGGGACCCATGAGACACTCTGGACCTGGCAGCAGCATGAGGAGGCGGTACTACAGGGGCCCATGACAGATTACGGGCCTGGCAGCAGCATGAGGAGTCGGTATGTTTAACGGGGGGGGGGCCCATGGCAGATTACGGGCCTGGCAGCAGCAATGGGAGGCGCGTAATCTGCCAGCACCCTATGACAAAATGGAACCCACCCAGCAGATCGTGAGGAGACCTGAAAGTGGCACATGGCAGAGTGTGGCGATGGAGACAGCAGCACATGGGAGGCCATCACAGGGACCCATGAGACACTCTGGACCTGGCAGCAGCATGAGGAGGCGGTACAGGGGCCCATGACAGATTACGGTGACCTGGCAGCAGCATGAGGATCGGTACGGGGGCCCATGGCAGATTACGGGCCTGGCAGCAGCAATGGGAGTAGCCCGTTAATCTGCCAGCACCCTATGACAAAATGGACCCACCGAGCAGTGTGAGGAGACCTGAAAGTGGCACTGGCAGAGTGTGGCGATGTGAGACAGCAGCACATGGGAGGCTGTACAGGGACCCATGAGACACTCTGGACCTGGCAGCAGCATGAGGAGGCGGTACAGGGGCCCATGACAGATTATGGGCCTGGCAGCAGCATGAGGAGTCGGTACGGGGGCCCATGGCAGATTACGGGCCTGGCAGCAGCAATGGGAGGGCCCATAATCTGCCAGCACCCTATGACAAAATGGAACCCACCACAGTGTGAGGAGGACCTGAAAGTGGCACATGGCAGAGTGTGGCGATAGAGACAGCAGCAATGGGAGGCCCGTACAGGACCCATGACACACTCTGGACCTGGCAGCAGCATGAGGAGGCGGTACAGCGGGCCCATGGGCAGATTACGGGCCTGGGCAGCAGCAATGGGAGGCCCGTAATCTGCCAGCACCCTATGACAAAATGGAACCCACCAGCAGTTGTGTGAGGAGACCTGAAAGTGGCACATGGCAGAGTGTGGCGATGGAGACAGCAGCAATGGGAGGCCGTACAGGGACCCATGAGACACTCTGGTACCTGGCAGCAGCATGAGGACGGCTGGTACAGGGGCCCAATACAGATTACGGGCCTTGGCAACACAGCATGGAGGAGTCGGTACGGGGGGGGGGCCCATGGCAGATTACGCGGCCTGGCAGCAGCAATGGGAGGCCCTTAATCTGGCCAGCACCCTATGACAAAATGGAACCCACCAGCAGTGTGAGGAGACCTGAAAGTGGCACATGGCAGAGTGTGGCGATGGAGACAGCAGCAAGGGAGGCCGTACAGGGGACCCATGAGACACTCTAGGACCCCTGGCAGCAGCATGAGGAGCCGGGTACAGGGGCCCATGACAGATTACGGGCCTGGCAGCAGCATGAGAAAGTCGTACGGGGGCCCATGGCAATTACGGGCCCTGGCAGCAGCAATGGGTGGCCCGTAATCCTGCCAGCACCCTATACAAAATGGAACCCACCGAGCAGTGTGAGGAGACCTGAAAGTAGGCACATGGCAGAGTGTGGCGATGGAGACAGCAGCAATGGGAGGCCGTACAGGGACCCATGAGACACTCGGGACCGGCAAGCAGCATGAGGAGGCCGGTACAGGGGCCCATGACAAATTATGGGCCCTGGCAGAGCAGCATGAGGAGTCCGGTACGGGGCCCATGGCAGATTATGACGGGCCTGGCCAGCAGCAATGGGAGCCCGTAATCTGTCCAGCACCCTATGACACAAAATGGGACCCACAGCAGTGTGAGGAGACCTGAAAGTGGGGCACATGGCAGAGTGTGGCGATAGAGACAGCAGCAATGGAGGCCGTACAGGGACCATGACACACTCTGGACCTGGCAGCAGCATGAGGAGGCGGTACAGGGGCCCATGGCAGATTACGGGGCCTGGCAGCAGCAATAGGGAGGCCCGTAATCTGCCAGCACCCTATGACAAAATGGAACCCACCAGCAGTCTGTGAGGAGACCTGAAAAGTGGCACATGCAAGAGTGGTGGCGATGGAGACAGCAGCAATGGGAGGACCGTACAGGGACCCATGACACACTCTGGACCTGGCAGCAGCATGAGGAAGGCGGTTTTTTAGGTACAGGGGCCCATGGCAGATTACGGGCCTGCAGCAGCAATGGGAGGCCCGTAATCTGCCACACCCTATGACAAAATGGAACCCACCAGGCAGTGTGAGAGAGAACCTGAAAGTGGCACATGGCAGAGTGTGGCGATGGGAGACAGCAAGCAATGGGAGGCCGTACAGGGACCCATGACACACTCTGGACCTGCAGCCAAAGCATGAGGAGCGGTAGTGTACAGGGGCCCATGGCAGATTACGGGCCTGGCAGCAGCAATGGGAGGGCCCGTAATCTGCCCAGCACCCTATGAACAAAATGGAAACCCACCAACAGTGTGAGGAGACCTGAAAGTGGCACATGGGCAGAGTGTGGCGATGGAGACAGCAGCAATGGGAGCCGTACAGGGACCCATGAGACACTCTGGACCTGGCAGCATCAAAGAGGAGGCGAGTACAGGGGCCCATGGCAGAGTGGCGTAAGCGTAAGCAGCTTAAATTGAAGGCCATACAGAGGCCTATGTTAAAAATAATAACATTGTTTGGGGCATGAATTCATGGCGGATGTTAGTCAGTTGTGTCAGGAACTGGTGGTTTGAAATCCCAGACTAAATCCTCGTGCCTGATTTCATTTTTCACAAATGTGAGTCTCTGCACACTTTGGCCGTTTACCCTGTGGGACCACGTCGTGTCCTCCGCGGAGTTACAATAGCCTCCTGCCGCAACTAATAACACGCGCTCCGATGCCACGTCGAACTTGGCGGGAATGACAGGCCTTTCAAAGGGCATATTCAGCTTAGTTGGGGCCAAAGGTCAAGTTATCGTTTTGCCCAGTAGTCAGGGGATTGTCTACCTCGGTTGGCTGGGTGCCTGTCCCAAGTAGGCCCAGAGCTATGTTGTTTTTGAGGTCCTGCTCCAGGTCCACCTGATGGCTGCTGCTGCTGCGGCTGGTTAGTAAGTCTTCCCTCTCTGCGCTGGTATTTGAAGAAAGCTAAGCTTCATCATCGACTGCAGACTGGGCAGCCGATGCTGGTGGAGCTGCCACTGCTCCTACCACCCCCCCCTCCCCCCCCCCCCCCCCCCCCCCCCCCCCCCCCCCCCCCCCCCCCCCCCCCCCCCCCCCCCCCCCCCCCCCCCCCCCCCACCCCCCCCCCCCCCCCCCCCCCCCCTTGGCCAAAAAAAAAAAAAAAGGGCCAGGCGGGAACCCCGAGCGCACAGGGCCCAAAAGGGGTCGGGGTTTGGGTTGGCGCAAAAAGGGGCAGAGACCAACTAAACTACATGGGTTTTTTTTATAGTACTTTTTTTTTGGCCTCCCTCTCGGCAGGTGTGAAAAAAGGCCACCTTTTTTGAAGGGAAACGGGGTCTAAAGGTTATTTTTGGGCTGTCACTACGAAAAGCAACCCGAGCTTTGCTAGGGGCCATTTGTGCCAAGGAATGCGGGGGGAACCTCCCTCCTTCCATCTCCACACAAAACTGCCACGGTGCGCCCGGGGGTCCTCGTCCCCCTCCTCCTCTACCAGATGCCCCCCTGCCCTCCACTCCTGTCCGCTGAGGGAAAAAACCCACCCATTTCACTCAATAATTCCTGAGCACCAATGTCCTCCTCTACCTCCTCCTCTTCTTCCTGTCCTGCCCCCACAGGGGTCATGTTGGCGTTGAGATCTGTGCGCCACGTCTACCGCACCCTGACCAGCGCCATTGTTAACAGCATTTGTTCCAGACGTGCAACTGAGGAATGACTTGTTACATCCCATAGTCCTGCCGTCTCACGAATCGCGTGGCTCCTCAAAGGGCCTGAGCAAGCGGCAGGTGTCCACGCATGAGCTGCCCATGGCTGACATCTAAGTTCCCAACAGGGGGAGTACCTTTATGTTCCGCATTGCAACATCAGGAAAGATCGGTGGGGGATGGCCTTTCGCTCGGTTCCGTCAAAGGGTGGGAATTCCACCTTAGTTGTCAGCACGTCGCAGATCAGCGCTTGCTGATGGAATTCCGGTTCTGGTGCCCCAGCTGCAGCTCAAGGCGGGTGTGACTTTGCGGTGATAGGGAATGGCTGGAAAATGCATGCAAAGTTTACGTGTCATTTTTAGGGATGTCTTGCAGATGGGGATTGGTGGATTATTAGGAACCAGGCTTGAACACATCCAGATTGATACACGTGAGGCCATAGCATGCGCTCATGGCAACAACCATCCTTGAAACAAGTCAGAGTCAGACACCATGTGCTTCTCCGTTGTCCGGTTCAACATGGTTTCCGATTTTCAGTTTGCGCTGGAGACCAGCCCATGCTGTCGATTTCTCGTGTTCATTACAACCTCAGTACGTTCCATCCCTCTGTGTTGACTACATTCGCCCAAGGCATCTACTCGAGGTGCAGCACAGCGTGACACCGTTGATTGCGCCCTGCACATGTGATTAGCCGGTCAGGTAATGGACTAAGCACGGGGGTGGAGCGGCTGAGGACACACGGGGCGGATAGAAGAGGTGGTTTAGAGGCGGAGCATCTTTTGCTGGACCAAGGACGTGCAAAACGTGTGAGCTAAAGCGGCGTGACCTGTCCCAAGTTGCTGGTGCGCGCTGTGTCCTAGGCACCGAACGTTCACACCAAGTGGGGGCCGTTAAATGACATGTACTGATCCCCCTTCGACGCGTTAGTTACAAGCTCCACGACGTCGGCGCTCGCCCCAGTGCACTTTGGCTATGAGACCGATAAAATGCTCACAAAAAAGACTTGGCCCACCATATCTCTTCTACATGTGAATTGCAGGGCCTGGCACTGCCTGTGTTGGTGAATGAAATTGCCCGGCTTGGACACTCTCCACTCGCTGGCCGGCGCACAAGCCATCATTTCTCGGGAAAGTGTGCTGAGATCCACCACTTCGGAAAGGTGAGGGACTGCAGCACCAGCAACTTGGACAGGAGGACGTTCAGCATCTGCATAGCCGTCGGGTGCGTGCCTCAAGCAAAACTGTTGTCTCTTGTGAAACTGATTCCAAGAAAGACTGCTGACGGAATCCGTGAATGGGGAAGTAGAAGGAGAAAGGAGCATACTGAACGAGCGGGGAAAGATCCAACGAGCGACAACTCCCCCCAGACAGAGGTGTAGAGCCTTGACTGCTTGATAGAGGGCGATTGACCGTCGGGTGGGCGGAGCAAGTAAAAGGACGGGTGATGGGGCGGGGGGGGGGCAGGCCGAAAACCCCCCGTATCTTTTTTACGGTTTTCCCAGGGCCCCCGAAAAAAAAGGGGGACGCTGCATATGCTGACGCAAAAGCCCGTAGTCCCCCAAAAGGGCCCCCGGCCACCCCTTGACTTTTTGGGCCCCATAGTCGAAAAAAACGGCTACGTTTACTTCCCTCGGGCGGCTTGAAAAGAAAAATTGCCACACCCGCCGAGAGGGAAAATTTGGGCCCCCCCTACCCTGCTGGCGGGCTGCTTCTTCCTCCGGGGGACACCCCGGGACCAAATACCCGGCCGTGGTTTGGGAAACCCAGGGGGACTGGTGCTCTACTCCGTGGCCCTTTTCCTCCACTGACAAAAGCTGCGAAACCCCGCTGCCCTTTCCGGGGAAACCCCCCCCACTTTTTTGCTCCCCTCCAAAAACGCCACCCTCTCTTCCCCGATGATGCCCGGGAACAAAAAGCCTTTATGACCCACGAGGGGTGACCCAAATGGATCACCCACATCATCAATTTTGGGGTCCCCCGGGCCCCCTACTTTCCCCCTCGGGGGCGTTGGGGGTCAGGGACAGACCTGTCCCCTATACTGGCTACCGAGCCACTCCCTCGCCCCCCTTCTTTCCCCCTTGGGTGTGAAGAGGCAGCCCTCTGTTAGCTCCCTCACGGGACAGTGGGGCGGGGCCCCCCGCAAAGCGATACTCGGCTTGGGTGAGGGAACCCAAAGGGTCAGGGGCAAATAAAACACTGGGGTTTCAGGGGGCTTTTTTCCCGGGCCATGCCAAATAACGGTTTTGTCGGGCCCTAAACCCCCCAACCCTTGGCTGTTGGTTTTCAGGGTGACCTGGGGGAAAAGGAAGACAACCCAGTCAACCAATCGATGACGGCAGGGTTGGGCCCGGGGGAAAAACAAAGACCGCTGGATTACACCGGGGGGCAAAATGGCCTCTGGCCCGCAAAAAATGCGCCTCGACCCCTTCCTCTGCTGCCACGTCTGCTCCTTCTGGGAAAAATTGCCTCCTCTGCCACTTTCCCTGCCCTGGGTTTTCGGGCATTCCTTTTAAAATTTAAAGATTCTGTTCCCTGATAACGATTCTGTGTCCCTGATTTAAAAATTCGTTCCCTGGTAACAATTTTGTGGCCCTCAGTTAAAGATTCGGGGTCCCCAGGGAACGATTCGTGTCCCTGAAACGATTCGTTTCCCTGGGGAAAAAAAAACAATTCCGGTCCCGAAATAACAATTCTGGGCCCTCAGTAAAGATTCGTGCCCTGAAAAAAACAAAATTTTGTGTCCCTGATAAACAATTCCCGTGTCCCTGAGTAACGATTCTGTGTCCCCCCGAGTAACATTCTTTGTCCCTCGTAACAATTTTTGTGTCCCGGGGGTAACAATTTTGTGTCCCTGAGTAACAATTCTGTGTCTGTTTCCCCGAGGGAAACAAATTCTGTGTCCCTGGGGTTAAAAAGTCTGTGTCTTATCCCTGAGTAACAATTCTTGTGTTCCTGAGTAACAATTATTGTCCCCTGAGTTAACAATTATGTGTCCCCTGAGTAACAATTCTGTGCTTCCCTGAGGAACAATTCTGTGTCCACTGAGTAACATTCTGTGTCCGCCTGAGATAACAAATTCTGTGTCTTTCCCTGAGTAACAATTCTGTGTCCCTGAGTATCAATTCTGTTGTCCCTAAGTAACATTATGTTCCCTGAATTAACAATTATGGTGTCCTGAGTAACAATTCTGTGT